TGCAAAGTTTTATCGTAAAATTAGAAATTAAAAAAAATCAACCTAAATTAAGGTACAAACAATACACTTTTAACATATATCATTTAACAACAATCAGTTAATGACAATACATCCACAACTCAACCACACGAACATTAAAAATTAAAAACAATAAACTATTGTCAAAAAATACACCACTAAACAAAACCAAAAAAATCATCAACGATAAACAATAATGGGTACCAGCGAGAGTACTTCCGAAGGTTAGATCACTGTCAATACAATTTGGATGGAAGAGAATGGATGATCGGAGTGGTTAAGTCTAATGGATCTTCAGATTATGTCGTATGTCACTGAAGAATGTCGGTCAATTGTTAGAGTCTGCACAGAGTGATGAGAAACTGAGGAGGATGACAATGATTTCTGAGAAACTAAGAGAGGTAAGACGGTTAATGGGAGAAAGAGAAAGAGTTTGGGTTGTGTATTAGACAAAATGGGTAGCATGTGGGTGTAATTAAATTGGGTGGGATTAAGTGGCGGAGCCACCCTTGGACCAAGGTGGGCACGTGCCCCCTTCAAATTATTTTTTTTTAACATTAGATATATATTTTTTAAAATAAAATTTATATATATTTAATTGTGTCCACCCTCAATTTTTTTTATAATAAATATATATTTTTTAAAATAAAATTTAGACATATTTAATTGTGTACACCTTATTGTTGTATTATTGTGATATCGATTAAGATAGACGATTACTTAAATAATAATTAATTTTTGAATAATGTCATTAAAACTAATACATTATGATATTAAATCTAATAGTGAATCCTTACATTTAATAACATCTATTATACATCCAATGGTCCCAAACCATTGAGTTTCTACCAATTAAATTTTAAATTTTTTTTTGTCAAGATATAAAATTAAATTTTGAGTTAGATGCAATTACTATTATTCTTAAATTTTTAGACACAGACGTGTTTGAATAATTTTTAGACATATCGCGTTCATTTTTTTAAATTATAGAATTATTTTATTATTGTATAGAAATGAGCGTCATAATGTAATAAATTACAGGGTAATAAATAAAATTCTGTTATTACTATTTTGTATATAGAAAAAAAGTATTTATTGATATCATTGATTTGTAATTCTTTTAAATGATAAACAATAATCAGATTTAATTGCAGAATGATAATAATTAGTCTCATACGAAGTTTTAATTAATTTATTTTTACTTTTTTGTTTGTTCATTCTATGCAAATCATTTTTTAACCTTTTATGTTTAATGAATTTTTATGTATAATTATAGTAAATATGAATTTATGAACTTCTATGGTCAATTGAAAAAAAAATGAAAAATGCTATTTAGATCTAATTTGATGACATAATTTAATGCACCCCTTTGATTGAAAGTAGACTTCATCTAACATTGAAATTTATAATTAAAATAGCAGTTACATTTAATTAAATCATTGGTAACATTGATAAAAAACAATTAAAATTTATTAATGTACCCACCCTAAAGTATTTTTCTGGCTCCGCACCTGGTGGAATTTTATTTTTGTGTGGGATGTGTTGTGAGCCATTGGATTAAGTTTGATGGATTTAAATGAAATTTAGATCATTTAATTTAAAATGAATTCAATCTGAGTTGTTATTGTATTTTTTCAAATTTAAGATAGAAACGTATGAGAGATAGAAGTGTAGAGTTTTACGATAAGAGGCTTCTTCATGGGCGGGAAAAGAAATTCAGGACTAACTGTAGACTGTTAGATCAAAATTTTTGAGATGATCTGAACCATTTTTTATATTGGGATTACGTTGTCCGTTGGATGTGTTTTTGTTTTGTTCCAAAACGATCTGGACCTCTCTTTGTCTTTTGGATTCAAATTTCGTTCTACTTTATTATATAGATATAAAGAGAGAGAGGAGATAAGATAGTGTATTTAAAACGTCTAAGAGATAAGAGAGAGAGAGAGAGAGAGTTATATGAGAGATAGGAGTATTAGAGTTAAGTTCAATTATGACCGTCAGATCAGTATTTATGAGATAATTTAAACCGTCTTTTATGTTGGGATTACGTTGTCTGTTTTTATTTGGATATGTTTATGTTTTGTCTTAAAACGATCTGCACCTCTCTTTGTCTCTAGATTCAAACTCAGTTCTACTTTATTATATAAAGCTGAGTTTGAAATACTCTTATTCTTTTTGCCTTGATGAATGGTTGCATTGAAATAATTTTATATGTTATCTTTGATAATGTTATGCCTACTTAAAAACTTATATATGTTGTAGCTAATAGGCATTTAATCACGCAACAAGACTTTTCCCATGTCTTCAAAAAAGTGAAGTTACTACATTTAGAAAAAGGTAAAATATATCCAATCTTAATGCTTTTTCTTTATGCGGACATAATAAATTATGAGTAAATTGCACATTTGTGCATGTAGTCATTGCATTCAGTTATGTATTTTCAGTTCTGAAAGTATTAAGGAAAAAAATGATCACATATCTGGCCTAAATGAAATTACATTTATTTTGCTCTTTTTAAAATTCTATTCACCCTACTAAAATTTCTCTGAATTATTTTGCCTTTATAATTATATGCAAGTTGTTTGCAGTTAAATAATATTTTCAATTAAGCAATGGTTTGTTTGATTGGTGTGTTTTTAAGTTAATTTGTTAAACAATTGTTTTAGACTTAAGTGGTTGTTCATAATTTTCGTGCATTGTTTTTTTTGTCTAATGAATGACACTAATATGTCTTGGTTCAGAATTGGTGCCTGTTTGGTTGGCCAAAATATTGGACAAAAGTAAGTTACATTTTTGTGTCTCATATTATGTTTTATTTTAGTTTTGTTAATTGTAAAGAAAACTTGATTCAATTTTTTCTCTGTTTTTCTGCTGGTAGAAATCGATTTGCTTATATATGTGAAGCTTTAATTTAATGACAAATTTTTCAAATGCTTTGAAATTTTTTAGCATTGTTTTGTTTACAATGTGTGGAAGAAAGCAAGATAGCTACCCCTACATCACTTCACATGTCTCTTAGTTGGTTTAAGTGTTGTAGTTGCATTAATTAGGTTTTGTGTATGCTATTTCAAATCAATTTTTCAGTCCAAAAAATTGGTGAAATAAGGGGATTTAAAATTTTGATTCCTCACTTTTACTATACCTTTTTACTGTGATTTGGACCCTTTTCTGGTAGCTGGGGTAGGTGATATGTTTGAGTTTGTTTGATGATCATAGCAGTGGCTTTCAAACACATGCAAAATGACTTTCATGATAACTCTTATAAGGGTTAATACATTCAATTATCTAGGTTAGTAAGGCTGATGTATTCGATTAATTTTAGATGAATTGTTAAGTTAATTTTCTATAGTTCTATATGATTTTAATTGTCATAGTAAATTGGATCGACTGATTTACTAACTATTTGATTTTGATTACAGAAAAAGCATAGAGTTGTGTGGGAAAATAGTCGTGGTTGCTGAGGGGAAGGCATGCTAGGATCATTGGACCTAAGCTTATTCTTTTTTGTCGTGCTATGACTTTGAGGTGAATTGTGCAGTCATGAGAGCTCCTCTTAGGTTGGAAGTTTTCAAATTCACGCTGTAATGTATATAATGTATACACCGAATAGTAAGTCGGCATTCTATCTCCACACGAAACCTTAAAATTTTAAAGAATTATGTTTAGACCATCCCCTTTATATTAAAAAAATATCAGAAAACACAGAATGCATGTTTATTAAAAGAATGTTCAACAAGATTTTCAAAATCTTTTATATGATACTTGAACAGATCAGCATGATTACTAAAATGCACAAAGATATGAAATATTGAGAAAGACACAATTCCGCAAGCAAGGAAAATGATAAAACATAACGGCTGCAATCAAAGATGGGAGTAGAGTCGGGTTATTATCAAATTCGTTCTATTTATAATATATATATATATATATATATATAGAAAATTAAGTAATTAGTTTCTAGATTTAATTATTTGTTTCGGTATTGGGATCATTCTTGGTATACAATTGAATTTTTAGGCATAGGGAAAGTATATGATGTTTTAGGCTCCTTTTGTTTTTCTAGGAGATATTTTAGTGTAAATCTGTTGTAAGATAATGAATCGTTGAAATTTTTTAAAGGGCTTCGAAATATACTGTAAACTATGGACAATACTAATGATATCAGTCCAATAGACCACGAAAATTTAACAAATAGATTTAAAGTGGGTAGTCCCGTCCGTCAACTAATTGAGGCTGGGCACTTTGATTCTTAAATGACTTTGGTTTTCTATCAAACCAAGGGTGAAAGAAAAAAGATCGAAAGAGTTTACATGAACTATTTTTTACTTTAATTTGGTGTTATTATATGAGGTTGGATAGCTAAACATATTGAATTTTCTTCGAATGCATTGTAGGACATATAGGCTTGACAAGGAAAAATCAAACTGAAAGAAACTGCCAAAGGCTTCCAATTTTTATTTTTGTAAGTAGAAATAACATTTTATCAGTGATTATTAGACATTATAAACTTCAAGCGGTCTACAAATATTTTGTCAGCACGTAACACTTCGACCCTGCTGTAATTTATTATATGTTTACAATTTTCAAAGGGTCTAAGTGTTACGCGCGTATAAATTTCAAGGAGTCTGTGTATAATATTTTAAATATCAAAGAGTCTGAATAATTAAATGACAAATCTCAAGGAGTCTAAGTGTAATTCTAGAACCACCCTCCACCCACTTAAATTCCTTTTTTACCACCGGTCACTTGCTTGAATACAATCAATATTTATTTTTAGTTCATTATTGGTCTGACGGATGAGTTTTTGTATAAGCTCCCAGGTGCATGCCTATTCCTTTAATCAACTCCAACATTCTCCTTGTCTTACTCAATAAAAATATTATTTATCTAAAATTTAAAAATAAGATAGAATCTATAATTTAAAATGGTTCTTGCAATTACTAGTTCTTGTAAAATTGTAAGGTAGCCTTAGTTTACCATTTCACAAGCGAAAGCGTGTGCTTACATAGAGAAAAAGGATGTCCCACTGGCAAGTCGTCTTCTTCTTCTTCAGATCTGAAAGCCAGTTTGACTAAGCCTTGGGTTTTGCAGAGAGTTTTCAAGAGTTAAAAAAACCCCACAAAAACTCATCCAGGTCTGCTCTATTTTTCTATATTTTGGGGTTGAAAACAAAGCAGATCTCAGATATAGGAGTGTATAACAGAGAGATGGGATTGGTGGGTATCCAAGAGAATGGAAATGGAAAGATGGAGTTGTCTGGTGTTCCTAATCCTCTGGGGATCAAAAACAAGTACAGAAGGATGGATTCTGAGCTGACTGAATATGGAGATGAAGATCTCTCAAATCATCATCAGAAGGAAAGGAGCAAGAGTACCAGAAAATACGTTTTTGCTTGTGCTGTTTTTGCATCTCTCAATTCTGTCCTTCTTGGCTATGGTAAACCTTTCTCCTAATTTCTGGTCTTCTTTTTCTTTTCTTTTTTTCAAATAAATGATATGCTTATTTTCTGTGTTTGGTATGCTTTTTGCTTGACTGAATCTCATCCTTAATGAACCAAAAGACTATTCATTTCCTTAGCTGGTGCAGAAACAAATCTTGATTTTGACTTTTTATATTGTGAACACATATATATATGGAAATACAAGATATGTTTTTTTAATGAATAATCGATAACCATTTCAACTATCCTTTCGATTTGTACACAAACTTGGAATGAATACAATCGCCCACAGGCAGGCACGTAAGTTCAAAGTACTTCAATTTTACTATTCTTCCCAAAATCCCACATAATTAATAGTCCGCCTTTGATTTCCAATCCTCATCAATGGTCAGCTCCTAATTTCACAAATTTAATCATCTCTAAATTTTATGTTTATCATAACATTTCTATCTGCATATAATATATATTATTAGGCTTGTTTATTTCGTGTTTTAAGAATTCTGTATTGTTACATATATATATTTCATCTCATTTTGTGTGTACGATTCTCAATCCAATCCTACAATCCCTATCATTTAGCCTTCCCCATCGATCCAAAGTAGGATATCGATTTTAAAAATCTTGGTATGAATCTAGTATGGTAAGCCAAGAAACCTCTCTTTGTTGTTTTTCTTTTTTTATTCCAATTATATAAAATTTACAAAATATTCAGCAGAGCAGCTCCCAAATGAATTACTTGACTTAATGTCACATATGGGGCATCTTCTTATGGCAACCGAATGTCAACTTTGCACATTCCAGTTAACTAAATACTGCAGTAGATGCCAACAGAACTATATGCCTTGTGATGTGTCCGTTTCCTTTGGAATTTCACTGTTAAAAGGGTGTAGTCACCCACCAGTTCATGTGTTTCTATCTAGCGTATCGGTCAACACCGCGACCAATGTGTGTTAATGTCCTTCAAGTCGATGGTCGATACCACGACTTTGAACCATACTTCTGCATGAACATATAGTAATATTGTGGATTTCACAATGCAGATGTGGGTGTTATGAGTGGAGCAATCATATTTATCCAAGAAGATCTGAAGATTACAGAGGTGCAATCAGAAATTTTAGTTGGTTGTTTGAGCATCATTTCCCTTTTGGGTAGTTTAGCTGGTGGAAGAACATCAGATGCCATTGGTAGAAGATGGACAATGGGATTAGCTGCCATTGTCTTCCAAACAGGTGCAGTTATAATGACTCTTGCTCCTTCATTCCAAGTTTTAATGGTAGGAAGACTCTTTGCCGGGGTTGGGATTGGCTTCGGAATCATGATTGCGCCTGTATACATCGCTGAGATATCACCAACCATCGCTCGAGGCTCACTCACCTCATTCCCAGAAATTTTCATAAACCTTGGAATCTTACTCGGTTATGTCTCGAACTATGTATTTTCAGGTCTTCCAGTTCACATTAACTGGAGGATCATGCTTGCAGTGGGAATTCTTCCCTCGGTACTCATAGCATTTGCGCTGTGCATAATCCCCGAGTCACCAAGATGGTTGGTCATGCAGAACCGAGTTGAAGAAGCAAGAACAGTCCTCATGAAAACTAATGAGAATGAGGCAGAGGTAGAGGAAAAACTCACCGAAATACAATTAGCTGCTGGAACTGGTAATGGAGAGAAGTACGAAGAGAAAGCTGTGTGGCGTGAACTTCTAAGTCCTTCTCCTGCAGTTTGCAGGATGCTGATCACAGGCCTTGGAATCCAGTGTTTCCAACAAATTACGGGTATTGATGCAACTGTTTATTACAGTCCAGAGATCTTTGAAGCAGCTGGTATTAAGGGTAATAAAAAGCTTCTTTCTGCTACTGTTGCTGTAGGCCTTTCTAAGACTGCATTCATACTAGTTGCCATTATTCTCATTGACAAAGTTGGGAGAAAGCCACTGCTCTATGTGAGCACAATTGGTATGACTGTGTGTTTATTCAGCTTGGGGGCTACTCTTTCTTTCGTAAGAGGAGGAACTGTTGGGATTACAATGGCGTTATTGTCAGTGTGTGGAAATGTAGCTTTCTTTTCTGTTGGAATTGGTCCGATTTGTTGGGTTTTGACATCTGAAATCTTCCCTCTAAGACTTCGCGCTCAAGCTGCAGCACTTGGGGCGGTTGGTAATAGAGTGTCCAGTGGCCTGATTGCCATGTCCTTCCTCTCAGTCTCCCGGGCAATCACAGTGGCTGGAACCTTCTTCATCTTTTCAGCACTGTCAGCACTTTCAGTTGCCTTTGTTTATAAACTTGTTCCAGAAACAAAAGGAAAATCTCTAGAGCAGATAGAGTTGTTATTTCAGAATGAGCATGAATGGCAAGGTGGTCAAGTGGAGATTGGAGATGTTGAGCATCTAGTGCAGAAAGAATGACCCATGTCATTCACATTTTTTTTTTCCATGTCATTCACATTCAGTTCATGATCGAATCCCAGAAGCTCATATACGTTCTTGGTTGGACGAGTATGAAAACTTACCATTGAACTCGTGCTTGTACACATTCAATTGAATTGTTGGTAAAGAGGCATTTAATGAAATACGAGGAAAAATATCGTCAGTAAACAGTACTGAAAAAGAAGCTAGAAAAATTGATAACTGGCATTCCGTTTGCAGCAGGAACGTGCAACATTCGTTAGAATTTTTGGTCAACGTAGCATAAAACTTCACCTTTGTCTGTTTCGTAAGGGTTTTCAGCTGAAAATATTGTATACAAGAATGATATTACATACGAAACAGGAGATCGTGACCATGGAAAGAATTAATGTACCTTCCTCACACAAATTATTATGATTGACATCTCACAACAATAATGTACATACATGCACTTACATATGCCACCTTTTCAAGCTAGGCAGGAGGGTAATCCCTCATTATAAGATAACTCAACACAGGATCATTTTTGAAATTGCATACTGCAAGATTTACCATGAAACATGTTTCTGATGCCATAAAGAGAAAGGTTGCGGAAGGTAAGCAGATTAAGCTCTCCATCAAACAAGCAATTATATTGAGGCAAGTATATCATTGACATATACGAAAAACTGCAAGCAATTAGATAGATGAGAAGGGAAAGGATAGGCCAAAAACAGTTCTTGTGTACAATCTAAAGACAAGGATCTTGTGTACAACAGTGATGTTCATAAAACTTATTTTTGGCTTTCCCATAATACAAAAGTTTCAAAGTTCATAAGCTGGGAATCTAGCATAAGCGGGCTCAATCATGTCTAGAAAAAGATAAGCCATACCTCCTATTCCTTCGAACAGAGAGTATGGGCTATCTCCTCCATGCATCTCTCCCTCTGATATAAGCCTGTGAGCTCTATCAATTAGAAAGCAAGAAAACGCTTTGGCCCTATATAAGAACTTTATATTGCCTGTGAGTCGATAGAGAGAGAGGAACACATAAGTGTTCCCACTGATTCCATGACAAATGCCAACTCGCTTGAGTAGGCCACGATTCCACACTACCTCTGCTGCATCTATAGCGGCTTTCAGGAACTCTTTATCTCCAAAAACCTAAACATTTAATATTTTTGGGAAAAACAGAAAGAGAAAATTACAAAATGGATTAAGAAAAAAAAATGGTAGTTTTTTCAACTATGAAAATGCATTCTGGTTATGCTGTTCTCATATCAGAATGTGGCTTGGTGAAGTAACCGTGAAGGAAGAATTACTTCTATGTGAATCTTACACAACATTGCTGGTACAGAAGGTTTTATACCTTTCCACACGATTGTTATATTTGGAAGCAATAAAAAGCAAGAATGACTCATAATTGAAGTTAAGAAATATATGGATCATGCTAACTGACATGACCAGAAGTTCAAGGAGTTCTACAGATATTATTCCTCAACAAAAAGATGCTTATATTAAAATTTTCTCAAAAAACAAATTTATATTATTGTCCAATGAAGCAGATCAAGTATGAAACTTAAATAGATATTTNGAAAGAATTAATGTACCTTCCTCACACAAATTATTATGATTGACATCTCACAACAATAATGTACATACATGCACTTACATATGCCACCTTTTCAAGCTAGGCAGGAGGGTAATCCCTCATTATAAGATAACTCAACACAGGATCATTTTTGAAATTGCATACTGCAAGATTTACCATGAAACATGTTTCTGATGCCATAAAGAGAAAGGTTGCGGAAGGTAAGCAGATTAAGCTCTCCATCAAACAAGCAATTATATTGAGGCAAGTATATCATTGACATATACGAAAAACTGCAAGCAATTAGATAGATGAGAAGGGAAAGGATAGGCCAAAAACAGTTCTTGTGTACAATCTAAAGACAAGGATCTTGTGTACAACAGTGATGTTCATAAAACTTATTTTTGGCTTTCCCATAATACAAAAGTTTCAAAGTTCATAAGCTGGGAATCTAGCATAAGCGGGCTCAATCATGTCTAGAAAAAGATAAGCCATACCTCCTATTCCTTCGAACAGAGAGTATGGGCTATCTCCTCCATGCATCTCTCCCTCTGATATAAGCCTGTGAGCTCTATCAATTAGAAAGCAAGAAAACGCTTTGGCCCTATATAAGAACTTTATATTGCCTGTGAGTCGATAGAGAGAGAGGAACACATAAGTGTTCCCACTGATTCCATGACAAATGCCAACTCGCTTGAGTAGGCCACGATTCCACACTACCTCTGCTGCATCTATAGCGGCTTTCAGGAACTCTTTATCTCCAAAAACCTAAACATTTAATATTTTTGGGAAAAACAGAAAGAGAAAATTACAAAATGGATTAAGAAAAAAAAATGGTAGTTTTTTCAACTATGAAAATGCATTCTGGTTATGCTGTTCTCATATCAGAATGTGGCTTGGTGAAGTAACCGTGAAGGAAGAATTACTTCTATGTGAATCTTACACAACATTGCTGGTACAGAAGGTTTTATACCTTTCCACACGATTGTTATATTTGGAAGCAATAAAAAGCAAGAATGACTCATAATTGAAGTTAAGAAATATATGGATCATGCTAACTGACATGACCAGAAGTTCAAGGAGTTCTACAGATATTATTCCTCAACAAAAAGATGCTTATATTAAAATTTTCTCAAAAAACAAATTTATATTATTGTCCAATGAAGCAGATCAAGTATGAAACTTAAATAGATATTTATGAGCAACTAAGGATACTGGACGAGATTTTTTTTTTTTTTTTTTTTTGTGTTGAAACTTACAGAGCCAAGTCTAGATGTTTAGCTCCGGATTTTTTTGAACAATCACTGTCCCAAAAGGAGTTCAATAAATCAACATCTAACCCCAAAAAAAAAAAAAAACAAACAAACAAACTTCAAGGATTCATTAATTAAATATCAACTTGTAGAAAATTAGATAACAATTATAAAGTTACCTCAGCTGCTTTGATAAATGTAAGGGCTATCCCAGGAGCTCCATGACACCAGTGCACAAGAACATCTCTATTTTTATCTGCTTCACTTACAGGGTAATTCCCACTGGGAAACCGATTCCTAATCATGTACTTGAGAGTGCCCTTGACATCCTCACGCTCATCTGGCTTGAGTTCTAAATCCATTAAAACATGCATAATCCCTGCCAATCCATGTGCAGTACCCCAGTACCTTTCACCATACCATTCAAACATCAATGGACTTTTTCCTCTTGCACCCAATCTTCTTCCATTCTTTATAATTTCATTCACAACAGCAGCCTGCACAGTATTCACAAAAACAATTCTTAATTCAATCCTGTTAAACCACCACTTGAAACATGTTAAATCACCATCTCACCTAAAAGCTTAAGATGTTAGAAATGAGTGTAAAATAAATATTTATCTAATACTTCCCTCACATGTTACCCTTCTCTTGGAGTAAATATTGGGTGTGACGGTGATACCACGTCACCATTGTCACGTGGTGTCACCAACCATTTATAAAACAACAAATACGGTCGGTGAACCCCACTATTCCATCACAGCAGAGATAGTTATTAGTAATTAGTAAAACAATGGCGCCCACTAATTCGACATGATATTCTATCACTGGTTGGTGACACCACATCATCAATGTCATGTGGTGTCACCGTTACATCCAATATTTTTTCCTTTTCTTGGCGGTTCATCCGCGTGATTGTTCTTTTGATTTGTGTAGTAGGGAGGTGGCTTGATGTGATTTAAGCTCAAGATTTCTAAGCTCTAATACTATGTCAAACCACCATCTCATCTAAACATTTAAGTTTTTAGAGTGTGTAACATAAGTATTTATCTAATAAAACACACACACACAAAGACAATGATTCCAGTGGGCCAACGGTGCCGACTACCTCAACTGAAATTATAACATTTATTCTTTTATGTGCTATCAGTATTTAATGTTTTTAGCCTGAAATGGACAGTCACTTCAAGAGGTTAAAAAGTTGCAAGGTGAACAATTGTTTTTTGGGTAAATACAAGTTGAACAATTGTTGCTTAGTCTAAAATTATTGTTTATCTTAAGAATGAGTGCACTTATTTAACGACGTCCATATTATTCAAGTGTTTGTTTTAATGTACTTCTGCAACATGTTGTAACTTGACATTGTAAATTTTGTTTCCTTTAAATCATTGAGAATTTAACTTTCTCACAACTTAATATCATTCCGTTTAACTATTAGGCAAGTGAAATATCCAATTTATACAGTTCACTGTAGAAATAAAATTGAAATAGATCAGATTAGTTGATCTGAACAACCTTCTTTACCAAAATGTGCTTTATGAGAGTTGATCCCCAAACACGCCATCATCACCAACCTCTTATCTTCACATATTGAATTTGAGCCAGCAGCAAAACCACATTTATATCATACAAAGTATAAGGCTTTGTCCTATAGTGTAAATTGAAAAGAATTGCTTCGCCGGAACAAACATACACACACACAATCACAAAAACAAATACTTGAACCAGATTTATACGGCACAGTCTTACAGTGTAAGTTGAAGGAACCGTCCCCGTGCCTATGTGTTTGTTTAGGAATGAACATGCCCATAAGAACCCAGCTCTACCATATAACAACTCATCAGGCAGATCTTTTGTCAGCTTAATCTGTTATAGGCAATCAAATGCATCCGATTAATTAATACCAACTCACCAAAAGTTACAATTGGAAATCCAAAAGCAATGTCAAAACACGTTAAAACACACACTCAATTACACCTCCTACCTCCTTAAATTGGATTAAATAGTAAGTAAGCAACTGATCATCACCCAAGTGCTTCGCCACCACAGCACCAAGTGCACAAACCCCAGCTCGCCCGCATATAAATGTCACACCCACATCCCTACGAATCAATACATCCCCATAAACATATCTTATAAGGCAGTTAAGCTCTCATTTGAACCTAAACCAAAAGAGATGTGTGTGCGTTAAGAATAACAATAGACCTGGCGTGGGAAGAAGCAGAGTCACAAGCCTTGACGATCTCAGAGCAAAGACTGAGATCGTTCCCGTTTTTAGTCACTTGATAGGATTTGAAGAGCACAAAAGCAGTCCCAAGAGCACCAGAGTAGAGAGTGAAGTCTTGGATGCGTTGCCTAGTAATTTCCCATGTCTCTATCACCACCTGAACCAAACAATCAAATCCACAAACAAGTGGTCCGCACTCAAACCTCAGCACTGCAAATGCATAAATATACTTGTATGTATGATGTTTCTGTGTGTGTGTGTGTGTGTGTGTGTGTGTGAGAGAGAGAGAGAGAGAGTACTGTTTGTTTGAGGTCCAAGGCGGCTCGTTTGAATCGCTCTGAGAGAGCGGCATAAGGCATGGAGAGAAGCTTCAAGAGCGAACCTTCAGAACCTTGAGCGATTGTTTGTGGTTGCTGTTGTTGTTCTAGAGTAGTGGATTGAGGTGGTGGTTGTCTTTCGGCAACGAAGTCTGGCATTACATTGGGAAAGAATCGATCAGCCATTCTCTTCTTCTTCTTCGACCAATTCAGCTCAGGGCAGCTTCAGTCTATGTGTGTGTGTGTGAGAGAGAGAGAGAGAGAGAGTCACTTGACTTGACCTCACAGTTATCAACTATTCGCCACGTGTATAGCTCATGTCCGGCAGGGTACACGTGTTTTATTCTTCAAAAACAGGTGTTATATTTTTTAGCGAAAAATAATATCTCTATTTAATTTGAGATTCAATTAATTATAATTGCTTAATTGGAAATGAGTTACATTTAGTCATTGAATTTATAATTAATTTAATAATTACAATTTAAGTCTTTAAATTATGTACCTCTATTAAATTCATATGTTGCTGTCAAGTTTGTCATTGAAATGGGGTATCACCGTATCATCCTATTAGAAGATTCCAAAAATATTAAGCTGATAAAAAGGACGAAATCATCGTCTTTAAAATGTCGAACATGTCTTTAATCTTATTCAGGCTTCTATGCACAATTTTTTTTTTTTTTGATGTTGCTTAGATGCATAGAACTAGTAATGTTGTGGTTCATTGTATAGTTAGGAATGCAATCAATATAACAGATTCAGATTCTTAACCATAAAATTCGATGTTAGAAGTTCAAGTTTTTCAAAAGTTTATTAGGAAAGAAATGGGAAAAAATTTTAATTCAACTGTCTACTTCGAAATAAGTAATGGTTCATTTTTTACATAGAGTTATTTAACAATATAATTAAAATTATATTTGTTGACATGAGCCAAATTGAACTTACTCGACACGAATTATATATAATTTGGATTTGGATTTTTATAAAACAAGCTTAGAGATAAGATAAAATTAATTAATTTTATAATTTAAACGATTTTAATTAGAGATAACAGTGAATCGGAAAAAAACGGGTATTCGTCCAAACCCATTCCGTTTGGACCGGGGATGGACTACGTATTGGACAGTAGAAGTATACGAGGATACCAGTATAAACCCGTACGAGAATGAAGCCAGGGATGGACTTACCTTTACCTCCGCCCCGCCCCCGTTACCCGTTATATATATATATATATATATATATATACTCTTAAGCCCTAACTAAACATATTTATTGTAATTACATATGGTAATCAAACTAACAAGTGGTATTATTATGCGGTAATTTTATCAACTTTTTTCCTTGATTGTTCTTTTTTCTATTTGTGCTCACTGATTAAAACTGTTAGAAGTTTGGATTGACCATGCTCTAAAAACAGATAAAAAAGAGTAAGATAGTTTTATATTTTATCGTGAGTAGAAATATTGTTAATGGAGGTTGATGAGTTTCTCTGCTAGAGTGAACTAAGAAATTATGAGAATTATTGAATTTGTGAAATTTTAATTTTTTATTCTTTAACACTTTATAGCTGTAATATGAATTGTAATAACAAAAATTCTTTTAGGAAACTTCAAGTATAGTGCTATCATTTTCTTAGTTCAATTTTATGTTCTTTTTCTTCCTTTCTCTCTAATAGTTTCATTTCTTTTTTTGCGGTCCAATGACACTTTAAATAGAATACTATATTATTTTGGCTTTTATATTTTGCAATCTACATTATGTTAGATTATTTAGAATGTTGTTGGATTATTTAAAATATTAAATTTATTTAAAATTTTGGATTATGTTACTTGGGCTTAGACTTGGGCTTGGGCTTGGGCTTGGGCTTAGGCTTGGGTGGGTACGGGGGAAGCGGGTATAGGGACGAGGACGGAGATTAGAAATTTATCCACGGACGGAGATAGGGATAAAAATTATACCCGTTAACGAGGGTGGACCGGGGATGAACGAATTTTTTTTAAGCGGGTACGGGGATGAAGACTACACTCCCCGCCCCCGCTTCGGTCCACTGACATTCCTAATTTTAATAGACCTTAAAAAACACAGACACACACACAACTGTTGTATCAGATACAATACATACATAGAAATACAACAAATTTAAAAACTATAAGATTCAGGTTTGGCAAGGATTTCTGATGGCGTGTTCAAAGAGATAAGCAAAACTTGTGGATGATACGAACAAGTGTGGATCTGAGCTACAAGGATCGTGCAAACAATGACAGGGTTTCTGAGGAATCTTTGGAAGTAAAACACAGTGCAACTACAGTGGTTCACCGGCTTAAGAGATCGACTAATCCACTCTTCAAGGAAGTCTCCTGCTCCTTTTATCTTTATTCACGGTGGATATGACTTACAGAATATTCTTGATGATATTAGGGCATTCTTGCCTCTCAAGGAGGCACTGTACAATATTTATAGCACACTTTGTATCTCTAAGGGATCTGCAGCAAGATCTTTGCTCTACACCCGCGGGACTTTCCTTGATTTTAGGAGGAGATCTTGGACGGTTGAGAGTTTCACGCCTTAATCATTGCCCTTTTGTTGTTCTGTGGATGCTTCTTATTGACCAACTGTTCTTTCCTTGACTCCTCTAATTTTTCATCGGAGAGGAGCTCAGGACTTGGGCTTCAGAGCTCTAAGCTCATTGTCTGACTTCACTTCCCGAGTTCATACTTAGTTAAAATTTTTATTTATGCATCATCAATACCTATCGTAGACGTGTTCTGACTGTGTACTAGACGTATTATGATTGTGTCATAGTCATGTCTGGGTGGGTTCACTATTCAAGACACTTTTGGTTGTGTTGGATGTGTGTCTGGCCTTGTCCGACATTGTCACGACACTCCTCGAAGAAGCATCCGTACTTCATTCAAGGTTAAAAAAATTGCAACTATTTGTCTGCTTGAAAATCACAAGGTGCATCAACTTGGACAATGTCTACGGGAGTTCCAGTGAGGAGCCAAAGTCCATTTAGTAAATTAAAGTATAAATTACAGCAGAAAAGATCAATCCTCACTCCCAAGCAAACAGGGTTACTTGAACATAGAACAAATGGCTAGGAGTTCACAAGGCAGGTGCTTTAGGAAGGCCTGAATACCTCATTGTTGAAAATATCACCAGAATAGAGGTTACCTGGCTTTTGAAATGAATTTCAACAAAAGGAGAAACATGAAGTGCATTTCATATCCCATCTATTTAGGTAAGCAACAAACAAGCTACGAATACTCTTCCGCGGAAGAATTTCATTTTAAATAAAACGGTATCATGCATGTTCAGTAACATTGGCACAAGCAAGTTCAACCTTCTACTACCGATTGCTTTGAACATAAGCATGCTGCTCCTTTCTCTGGGGTACAATAGCCCATTGCCAGTGCATATATGTATGTGTATGCATCGAGCACTAACCATGTTCATTCCCATACTGAGACATCAACAATTTGACATTACCATCCTCACTTCAAGAATGACACTTTAAATAGAAATTTGCAACATGGATTCTTGAAGAATGTCAAGAAAGAGAGACATAATAAAAATAGAGAGGTGCAGGAGCAGAAGTACGAGAAAGAACAAGAGAAACCCCATCTGTTAATTGTTGATTGTACCTGAAAGCTTATGGGGATAAGAAACATAAAAATTTTGTTACACAGAGAGAGAATTTAAAAGAAGAAATGGTAAAATGTTTCCAAATACTCCCATTAAGAATGACCCAAAGATATTGATCAGCATGTATACAGTTGAAATCATCCTGAAATGAAATAATGGGAACAACTGTTATAGTTTCTAGCTGAAGGCTGAAAAGGAAGAGGCCAGAGTCTTAGCTCTGGAATAGAATACGGGGCAATCTGAGAACCGGGTACATGCCCATGCAAATAAAGTATCATGCTGCAGATGCTTAACTCAGGCACAATTTGCAAGCAACAAGCCTAGCCATATTCAACACATGGGGGTAGCAGTCAGAATGGTAAGAGACAAGAATGTTAACAAGTTTCTGATACCTCCTTGTAATTGTTTTAAGCCAGTGAAGGGTGAAAATGGTGACATAACTAAGCACACGGAAGAGAGTTGTTGGGATTAATATGGTAGATCTTGTTGCACCCCACTGCTAAAATAGGCGGCTAACCTAAGGCACGAAAATGCTTATCCCACATTATTTTCCAGAGTACTTCTATCCTTTGGCTACAAGGGTGATTGGAACAACTCAAATGCCTTTGGGTTTGAAAATTGTTTCCAACTCAATGCACATAGAGTGCAAATGATAATTTTTCAATACCTCATATGTTAGCGCATCAGCCAAGCCATGAATGCGATCAATGTGCACTCCCTTGCCAAAGAGCTTAGAAAAGGTGGGATCACTATAACGGGACTCCAGAGCCACAATGATGCTACAACCACCCTCTCCTAGGTTGTTAACAAACCTTTGCATGCAAGAAGTTGCTCCAGCACCCTGCTATCACAAGTCCTCATGCAAACCATGTCTCCGGGAGAAAGAGTAGTAGACGGTAATCTATGATTCCCCCTCCACCCTGAATAATACCAAATGCATTCCACCTAATCCTGTGCGCAAAACCCCATTCATAACATAAACATTTTGACAATGCACTGGAATGGTTACATAAAGGGACAAGACTCCAAACGATTAGGAATGCTCCACATGCATCAGGTTAGAGTTACATATGTTCATGGTAAAAGTTAGTTGTGTGACCTGTAAAAGTCCTACACTAAATTTAGATTGTAGATAGTATTGCAGAGTTCCTGCTCAGCCTGGCCATGGCTAACCAAAAATTCAATTGGTTTTGGCAAATTAGAACTCTTATCCGGCGTAGGAACAACATTTAACTCCTCCCGAGTGAATTCCAATTCAGCTTCCCTTCCAGTGAGAAGTAAATCAGACATGACCTTGGTGAAATCATCAATCCTGCTCTGAATAGCTCTGGCCTTCTCAAGGTCCATTCCTAAATTCAGCTACCTATATTGCAGAAGGTTTTTGGACTTGTAAGGCACATAACCTGCACCTTATCAATCCCCTCATTTCATTCCAATACAGTACCCGAATCCTTGGAAAAGTTGTAGAATATGTGAGGATTTCTTTCTTTCTATTTGTTATAAACACACGTAGAAAGGTTAAGTTCCAGAATTAATTTCTTCAAAGATTCACATTTCCACTTAGTTGCAGCTTCTTGTAAAGACTAAATTAAAGGATCATATTTATTCATGATTGATCTCCACATTCTATTGGAGTATGGGCATTGGAAGAATAAATCATCATGATTTTCCGGTCTATCATTACATAATATGCAACGCTCATCCAGGGAAGGTACTTATGATTTTGATCTATCTGTTGTACTCGACCCCCCTTTAATAGCTAACCAAAGAGTAATGCTCCATCTTGGTCATTACCACAAGTAGAACACCATAAACTTTACACATCCAATCGTTACCAACAAACAGGCACCAAGTATCAGTTCTCATCACGGCAGAGCGCCACCGGTATTCCGTCACCGAACCGTAGATCCACCCGATCCTGCCCTTGTACCATTCCCTTCTGCTGCTATAGCCTCCATGGAGAAGGTTGCCAGAACACAATTCCTGCTGCTAGAAAGAAAGAAAATAGATGATGTGAACCGATCTCCTATTTATAAGGTATAAGGTGTTGTACTTAGGACTCTTGAACTTGACAGTGGGATTGTACTGGTCGGCTGAACGATGGGAGGATAAATCCTTTTAAGGGCGCCTATTTACTAACCTATTTTATTGGGCTTGCTTGGCTTTCTCTTAGCTTCCCCTCACTTGTCCCATATACTAAAGAGTTAGAGGAATCGGATTCAGGTGAGCAATGAATCCACTCGCGCTTACTTACTTTAGTGGTTGTTCGAGCTCACTTCTAGTACCCTGACTGGCTACTACTTGAGTAAGCTTTCTCTCTCGAGTTTGCTAAAAAACTACAAACGTGGGCTTTTCTTAGAGTTGAGAAACTACGGGGCACGCACTTTGTCAAGTAATTGAGTCGATCTCATGACTGAGTTTAAAATGGACACTTTCCACCAGGTGAATTTAAGAGATAAAACCAAAATCAATAAAGACAAACCTACCTAGGCCGAATTGACCTTAAATTTGTGTTAGTTCAACTTTTTAGCATTATTTAGCATAATCAAATATGCAAGATGTTATTGTATTTCTATGCACAAGCAAAAGAATATAATTTTCAATTAAATACTTCCACAGTGAAATGTGTGTAGAGTTGGTTGATGCCCAGCTCTTAAATTATTCTAGCAAGATGATAGAGGCTACTAGTCGAGCAATCTAAATACATCAAGTCAACAAAGAATTAAATTAAAGAGAAAATAAAAAAAAATCCTCACCGGACTGCATTTGTGTTTAAGTTTTATGTTCCGTTTGATAGGAATGATGAAAAATGTAAAAATAATTATAGATTTTAAACATATATTTATAATTGGAAATAATAAAAATTGCTACTAAACTTTTGGCCAAATCAACAATTATTTGAATTATGATGTGAGCAATATAATTATGAGTGTTGTAATCTAAAATTTGAAATAAATCATGCAAACAATAGTTAGATCATATAACATGCAATTTAAATAAATACAGAAAATATTAGGACCTATTTTCTTTCTCTTTGGTTCAGGAATAGCTACCTTAGCTAAGCACCCCCACATTTTCATGATACTAAGGTTAGGAACTTTTTCCTTCCATATCTCATATGGAGTTTTCTCATTATTTTTAACATATACTTTATTCAAGATGAAACAAGCACTAAGTATAGCTTCCCCCCACAAATTATCAAATAAGCCGGAACTTGTCAACATTGAATTTACCATATCCATTAAAGTTCTATTCTTTCTTTTCAGCAACCCCATTTGATTGAAGAGAATAAGGAGAAGTCACTTCATGTATTGTTCCATGTTCTTCACAAAATGTACTAAGGTCGGTTAGAGTATATTCACCACCTCTATCGGACCTTAATCTTTTCACTTTTCTCTCTAATTGATTTTCAACCTCATTTTTATATATCTTAAACTTATTAAATACTTAATCTTTGTTCTTGATAAGATAAATATAATAATATTTAGAACAATCATCTATGAAAGTCACAAAATATTTATTTTCGGCTTTTGTTGGCGGTCTACTAGAATCACATACATCACTATGTATAAGTTCTAGAAGTTGGATATTTCTTTCTACGCTTTTATGAGGTTTTCTAGTTTGTTTGGCTTGTACACAAATTTCACACTTATGTTTGAAATCTACATGAGATTTAGGAATAAGATTGAGATCCATCATCCTTTTGATTTTCTTTAGACTTATATGTCCTAATCTTTCATGTCACACATTGCAAGATTCAACATTGAAAACTTGATGAGAAATTTAATTAACTTCCGAAAGTACATTCAATTTAAATAAACCATCACAAACATATCATTTGCCAACAAATATATCATTCCTAGTTATCACAACTTTATTTGACTCCATTACAACTTTATAACCTTGTTGGACTAAGGACGACCCACTGACTAAATTTCTTCTAACTTCAGGAACATGTCGCACTCCCTTCAAGATCAATGTCTTCCCAGATGTCATCTTTAACTCTATGTCTCTAATTCTAAGTACTTGTGCGACAGAATCATTTCCTAGCGTTACACTTCCTCCACTTGATTTCTGATAAGATTTAAATAAATCACGATCAAAGCAAACATGTCTATTAGCCCCAGAGTCTAACCACCAATCTTTATCTTGATAAGTAAAATTAACTAGGGAACGATTATACCTAAAGGAGGGTTCGGCAGAATTATTACCATCCACTAGAACATTGACTTGGGCTCTTGGACCTCTTTGATTTGGCTTAGACTTTGGCTTATATGGCTCAGTCTTCTTGTAGTAGCAATTCTTAGCCAAGTGATTGGTTCGTCCACAAACAACGCAAGGCATCCTCTCTCTTCCTAAGCCCTTGAACTTATTATTATTGTAATTATTATTATTTTGATAGTTTTGTTTTTGACCATTATTAGGACGACCATTAAATCTCTTATTCTTAAAATTTCTTCCCCTAGGTCAGAAATTTATGATTGTTACTATTTTTCACTAAATTTACCTTAGGGGGTTTCTCATTTTGTGAGTTTGTACTAACCCTATGCTTCTCTTCGACCCTAAGAGCGTTTATAGTTTGGGTTAAGGTTAACTCTCCTTATTTATACCTAAGGGTCTTAGCAAAATTATCCCAAGAAGGTGGAAGTTTGTCAATTAAGTTTGAAACTTTAAAATCTTCACTAAATGTAGTTCCAACCTTTTCAATTTTCCTAAAAAATTCTTGATATTCATGAATTTGATCACCAACAAGTTTATTCTCCACCATTTTATAACTATTAAAATTAGAGATCATAAACCGTTTAATTCCACCATCAACAATCCCATACTCGGCCTCTAAAGTGTTCCAAAGTTCTTTGACGGTTGTCGTAATATTATGGTAGACATTATAAAGATGGTCAGAAAAAACACTAAGAATCCTATTATGACAGTGATATCCAATTTGTTCAGGAGTATACCATAAAAATAATTCTTAACCAACTTGAGGCTCTTCTATAGCATAAATTAAGTCTAACCAATATCGAACTTGTTTTTGTCACCTACGAAAATATTGACTACTAAATTTTTCGGATTTGACACTATTAGCTTCTTCTAGTCTACTCATCCTTAGTTTAGAATTCAAGGGCAAATAAATAATAAGAGATAAGCAAATAACCTGTATTGAATTTAAATGTCAGCTGTCAAAACCCTATTTGTAACAAAATTAAGAAAAATGTTTAAATTATTGTAATAGCTCTTGAAACTTTAATTTTATTTTTCGAAGGCAAGTAGCTATATATTTTTTTTATTAAAGCAAGTAGCTACTGATTTTTTTTTTTTAGATCCCTTTGGATATTCTATTACTATTCAAAAGTAGTTACTGTTTTTTTTTTAAATTCCAGAAAACTGTTTTTTTTTTTCCAAAAAACAGAAACAAATTTTTTTTTTTGAAAACAGTAACAGTGTTTTTTTTTTCCTTAAAACAGAAACAATTTTTTTTATTCCAGAAAACAGTAGCAGTTTTTTCTTTCCTTAAAACAGAAACAGTTTTTTTTATAGAAAAACAGAAACAATTTTTTTTCAAAAAAACAGAACAGTTTTTTTTTTATAGAAAAACAGTAACACTTTTTTCCCTAAAAAACAGTAACACAGAAAACTGTTTTAAACAAAAAAAATGTTTTTTTTTATTTTTTTTTAACAACAAATAAATTCAGCTGCTTTAGATTGTAAAAATAATTATAAATTTTAAGCATATATTTATAATTGGAATTAATAAAAATTGCTACTAAACTTTTGGCCAACTCAACAATTATTTGAATTATGATGTGAGCAATATAATTATGAGTGTTGTAATCTAAAATTTGAAATAAAACATGCAAACAATAGTTAGATCATATAATATGCAATTTAAATAAATACAGAAAATATATTGATGAGATTTTTCTGAAATACCCTATGATGAAGACACGTGTCCTCGGTTTTACTAAAACACTGTTGCTAAGATCAAGCACCATCGGCGCACGAATGTCCTCGCCCCCGAGGTACCGTCATATAGGATCATACATTCAGTATATTTTACAACCGACACGTGGCCTCGGTCTGATATGTACCTCGGTCGGCATACCTCCCTCGGTCCCCGAGATGAGCCTTTCCTCGGTGCCGAGAGGTACCCCGTCCTGGACGCTTCCTCTACTCCAGGATAAGCTATTGACGTACAGGTCATTAGCCTAGGCTAGTCTAGGCTATTCATCATGACCTCGTCTTACACAAGTAATGTCAGAACGTACTGGAATACAGAGGTCACAGCCAATAGGGGATGGACGCGTGGCATATGATATCACATCAAAGACAGACAAACCGCATGCCGTTGCTGACACGCGACTTGGGAAAGCAAACAATTAATTGCACCATTCCCTTGATGAGACCGCATTCAATGCGGTAAGGTTCGGAAATGAAAGGCAATAAATGCTCCTAATACAGAGCATTTATTGCATCCTCCCCGAGAGGAGCACATTGTACCGTCGGCATCCCGATGACCCAACATTGATTGCTCGGGACCCCGAGCAGTTAATTAGAGAAGACATTCCTCATCAGAATCAATGCGCACGCTACCTGTGCCTAATGATCACCTACTGACCACACTGACAGCAATCATGAGCTTTTAAAGTATAAATACTCCTTGCAAAAGGCAAAGCGGGTATGCAACAACAAACCCTCTACTACAATACTCACTCAGTGTTTTCTCCTTCCTCTCTCTCTCTCAAAGACTGACTAGATCGTCGGAGGGGATATGCCGGAAAACACTCCGGTGCCCTTCTAACCNAAAGGCAAAGCGGGTATGCAACAACAAACCCTCTACTACAATACTCACTCAGTGTTTTCTCCTTCCTCTCTCTCTCTCAAAGACTGACTAGATCGTCGGAGGGGATACGCCGGAAAACACTCTGGCGTCCTTCTAACCTGTTCTTCTTTGTTCCAGGAACCTCTTTCAGCCTTACTGGATCGTT